TAGATGAGCTTTCGTCACTTAAGTAAACTTATGAAAGTATTAAACAATGAAATTAACCAACCTTGTCCAAGCTTCATTATTGCAGCTGTGATAAACACGCTCAGAACTTTCTTGAATACATCAGCTCCAAAGACTGAACTTGGTTGTCCGCCATCCCAGGCCATAATAATCATGGCCTTCCAAAATTCATCATCGAAGTCATATTTTGTGAGAATATGCATTTCTTAAATTAGAAATACATCAGCTCCAGAGAGGGGCAGTGACAATTAGAAGATAGTAATACCTGAAGGCACAGAATATAGAAGCTCCACATTCGATCGAAACTTCTGAAGACATGCCAGAAGGAACGAATCTCAACAAAATTAACTTTTCCAACCCATCTATCCCTGGCGACAGTAGGCTTGCTGTTATCCTGTGATATATGATAACAAAAAACAGGAAAAAAAAAGATGGCACAAAGTGGTAGTCATTATCTGATAGAAAAAAATCAGTAGCAAGAGATTAGAGTTCCTAGTATAAAAAACCGCACCACCTGGAAACTAGATCAGTGTAGCAGATTCCCGAAAGAAAAAAAATATGTAGACAAGAACAGAAAAGATGTGTAGTTATTGTGTACCCCGTCCTTTTCTGTATTGGGTACAGCAACAGGCAGACAAAAGAAATCAGCATCAGCTCGCATTGGCCAACCTAATCGAAAACAATCAACTGACCTGCAATGAAGAAAACCATATTTAATTAATCGTAGAAACCACTTATGAAGACCATTACGATTGTGTGAAAGCAGGTAGATAGATATATCACCAAAAGTATTCATTCAAATCATCGTAGTTCCTCCACTGAGAGTGCTTAGACTTCCCTTTTTTGCTTCTTTGAGCCTCCTGTGAATGGTACAATTAGTGAGTAAAAATATTAACAAGCAAAAAAAATGCTGAAAGCAGAAAGAAAAGCTCGAAATTTAAGCCATACCATCTGAATCACTTCATAAATAGGAGTCACAACTTTCCTCAAGAATGCATCTTCCTCGCCTCCATAAGCAGGCTTCACATTTTCCCCAGTCATAGGACTAACATTCCCAGCCAGCATACCATAGAGTTCAAATGCCATCTGCAAAAGCATGAAATAGAGTAGGAAGTGTAAGAATATCACATCTAGGAACGCATACTAGCAAAAAATCTGTATTTTATCAAAAGAAAGCATGTTTCCCATCACTTTTATGTACTAGAATTCTAATCTCTAAGGAAAATAATATCAATTGACATTTTCTCATCAGAAATACGTCAACCTGAGGACATATACACATGTTTCGTCTCAAAACAAGCCTCGATGACAATTTATTATTGTGCTTGCAAGTTATAGCTCCTTACCAGAAATATAAACAACAAAAGATGGAACTTTCAAGGATAGAGAGTGACAGTAAAGCATAATATTATCATTGGCGGACAAGCATAAAAAACAAGAATCACGCACAAACTACGGAAGACTTTGCAAACTGAAACATACATGATGATAAATGTAGCAGAGACACTCAGGCATGAATCTCAAGTTCGCTGCTTCACCCCAAATTAGAAGATACAGGGCCATATACAATAGTTTGCGCTGTTGCATTTCTTGCTGTATAGTTGGCAACCTACAAGAAGATCATACATTGAAACAGATTCTCGACACCAGAGTTTGCATAAACATTTAGCAAAAGTAAGAAATTCAATTCCTGTTCATGAAGAATATACAGAAACCCTCTACGAGCAGTTCCTGAAATTTCTTTTTATGTTCACATACTTAGCTACTCCTGCAGAAACTACAAAGATTCGAGTATAGGTGTCTACAATTCCCTTACCAAAGACTACTCTTTCGACCAAGGTATTTGCACCACTTCTTATAGTTCTTGAAAAGCTTCTTCATCACTTCTGTCAATGCTTGATCATCTAACTGTGAGAGCACAATGGGTTGTCATAATGAGAACAGACAAAAGGATAAACTGAAAGTACATTTATTAAATATTATGCTTATATATATATTCCATGGAAAAAAAACATACTGCACAGAAATCTCCTCGGTTGGAAAAAGGAAAATGAATTAAGACAAAAAAAACTGTGAAAAAAAACCAACGAAAGGATAAAATTGTAGACATGCATGGAGACACCAAATCCATATTAAAGTGGTCTTTCAACTATGGTAAAATTAAGGTACGAACCTTTGGCTGCTGATCAGGCTTAGGAAATTGTCTTATATGCACATTAGCAAGTAATAAGATCAGATGCTCCCTTTGATTAGCCACATTGTCTTTCTGCAGAACCATAGCATACACAAGAAAAAATGCATGTTAGTAAGTAATAAGATCGATTGCTCCTAAGATTAGCTGCATTGTCTTTCCGCCAAACCATTCAGGAAGTTATAGATTACTCTCAACAAAAGCTTACTGAAAATTGGCAAGCATCACCGAATTAGAAAAAATTACCTGAAATCCAAACATTTCTTGAAGCCAATCAAGCATGTCCTCATCTTTCTTTTTCTTGTGACCTTCTGGCCAAGGAAGACCTCTAGTATTGCGGAGAGCAAGAACAGCAGCTTGGATCTGCAGAAAGGATTACATTACCCACTGATAACATGTTACAAATAATAACAATGCCCACAGTGAAACAAGAAGAGGACTAACCTCAGGATATCTCATAATCGCTTGATTTGCACTATCAGGATCGAGAGGTAGGATATTATAGGGGACATACAACTGTGTCTTTTCTGCAACCTTATCTTGAGCTTCCAGAATCTGGAAACATTCAACTTCATTGTAAAGTTGCACAAGAGATTGAAAAAAAAAAAGAGACAGGACTAAAAGGTCACAATGCCTTACCTCCCGGTCAACCTCAATCGACTGTGTGAGATTAACAGCCTTCAACACCTCAAACAAAACATTGGCAGTTTGGTATGCCTTTGTCAGCTGGGCACTGGAAATTAACAGCAATCAGTTAGGAAAATTTGGTGCTTTCAAACACTGACTAAACACTAATTGGCATCTTAAAACAACAAATTTAAGTAGGTTAGACAAACCGGTCAGCCTTATCTGCAGCATTGTGCAAAGCTTGAATATACTTCTTATAGTAATGTTGATAAAAGCTTTGCATTTCACGGGCGTCACTTTTCTTAACCCTGCCCATCAGTGTTGGATCATGTTCCTACAAAAAATAAAAGAGACGGTAGACCACATTTTGTTACTAAAACCAAGATTTCTTCCTACAAATATGAGTAGCTATCCAAATCTGCCACATGCAAGAATCAAGCAGAGTATAAAGAATGCTCACTCTTTCAAGACGCTGTAGAAGTGCAGTCTTAAACTGCCGAACACCTCTTCCACTGGAGGTAGGATCCAATCTATGAGCTTTCTCAAATGCATAAAACCGACCTAAGGGAGAGAGAGAGAGAGAGAGAGCAGAACCAAAAACCAGGTAAAACAACAAATTACATAGCCAAATCAAAAAAAAAAAAAAAAAAAAAGAAGTGTGAAATAAGTTTTCAGAAGAACTTACAGAGATAAGCAACCCTAGGGTTACTAGATTCAACCTCATTAGCAACACGAAGAATGGGAGCAATCTCAACAAGCGATGAAGGAACAACTTCACTATCGAAAGACTCTCCTAGATTACCAGCAGTCTGAGTTCGTACGATCCGCCGCTGCTGAGGCTGAGACGGTCCTTGTTCAGGACCTCCTCTCGTAGCAGACATTCCTTGTACCCTAAAACCTCCTCCAGGTTAATCGTTTTTTTTTTAAGGTTTCCTAAGCCTCCTCGAAACAAACAAAACTCATTAGACAAAGAAGATTAAAAATCAACAGTGAAGAGAGATGCGACATTGAGAAGAACATACAGAGAGATGGAGATCCAGAAACCCTAACAATGGCGGAGCCACAACTTTTAAGCTACTTAGCTGCTAAGTACGCAAAGTGAGAGAGAGAGATGAGCTGAATGAATGTTTTTATGTATTTATCTTCCTTTTTTTAGCACCGCTTTAATGGAAAAAAAAATAAAAAAGAAGTTTTAAAAAAGTACACTTTCGAATTTCGTGTCCATAAAAAGGCTCTATCTTCCATTTAATTACAGTAACACCACCAAGTTTATACTGTGACAATGTCGGTTTTGTCTTGGAGCAAACAAAAAAGGTCCCTCCAATTTATTCACTGGGACAAATAACGTAATGGTTCTGAAAAGAAAGGGTATTTTTGTAAGAGGAATTGGAATTTCAAAAAGTCGAAGATTCCAATGAAAAAAAAGTGTTAGCGGATTTTTTAAAACTTGAATGGCTTCTTTGACCTCATATGACTCGTCATTACTTTTTTCAATATTTTTACCGTTTTGTTTGACGTTGTTTTTACCGTTTGTTTAACAAGATTTTTATGATAATAACAAGATTAGAGGATTTGACGCAGTGTTTAAATTGTTGTAGCTAATTAAGCTTTGATTTTTTATTAAACAAAAAACTTCATATGATAACCAACCTATCTTGTTGTAAGCTCTGATGGATTTATGTTATTGGTTTTCGTTATATCTTATTCCAAGATTATATTTATTTTTAAGTGTTTAATTTGATGTAAGTTTTGTTCTGAAATATAGGCACTTCGATGGACAGTTCAACAAGGGCTTTAAACATGTAATTTATGAGTCAGGATACCAAAGATGTTATTCAAGCTTTGATGCAACTGCAAGCATGCCCCGATGTTATTTGTCAAAGACATTCCAGTCTTAGTCCCGAACAACAACTCCGAGACCATCACTTTCACTTTCGCTCAAGTCATGTTGCTGTCGATAAGTAGCAGACACAGAGGCCGGTCATACCCTTCTTTATCAATAAAGTAATGTTGAGCCTAAGAGCATGTATATGGGTGATATAGTATTATTAGGAATTTTTTAGTATTATTTATAATATTTGTTTATTGTTTGAGATTTTTTATGATACTCTTACTAAATATGTTTGCATTGGTGAGACCGGTTTAGGTATCATAAAAAAAAATTTACAAAATCAAAAATAAATATATTAAAACATAAGATTACAAAAGGTAATATTACGATAAAAAAACGTAGAATATACTTAAGCAAAATAAAACATAAAATTCAAAAAAACTGAAAAAAAAAAACATGATGATAAAAATAATTTAGTCGCTTGTAGTCAATTACCTTGGCTCCGTTGAAAATCTATATGTTGTGGTATGTCTTTTAGTGAGTTGATGAAACTTAGATATTGGTTCCTCCAGAACCATTTTATTTGTCTGATGCATATTTCTTGCTTGTTTGATAACCCCTTTCTGTGATTGATGCCAAATTCAAGAAACGTGTAGTATCTGCAATTTTTGGTGTGTAGTTTCAAATTTTCTTATTCACATTGGTGTTAATTATGTAGACAGAATCCAACATGTGACATAAGTTCTCTGATCAGTGCTATTAAAAATTGATACTCTGTTACGTTTCTAAGCTGTTTGAGAACTGCTTCCTTGCAAAAATTAGTATAAGAAGAATTTGGCACCTACAATATTTTACTAAACAAATTCTTAACCTTGTGGATGAAAGAATATAAGATGTAGAACCACGCAATGCTCCAAGGAGAATCAAATGAGAGAGATGCGAGTATCCCAAGAAGTATTGTCACATAGGCTGCAGCAAGACTCCAATAGAAAGACACCATGTCAATGAAAGATTCATCATCTTCCACTTCATTATCTGGTTCTTGAAAGTTATTGCTGTTGCAGATCAGAAGATGTGTTAATAAAGTCTCACTTACACCAATTCTGTGATTTTTTTCACTCTTGCAGGTAGAGGGAATGCCACAAACTGCAAAGTAGAGTTCCAAGTGAGTTCCCTGCAATGTACTCAGAAACTTATTCAAGTGAAATCTTGATCTCAAACTAGAACACAAACAAAATTAAAGAAAAGGGATGAATTCTAATATCTACTGCATCCTGAACTTTCCCATGCCCAATACCAGAAGACTCCATACCCACACTATCAGGTGCTGAGCTGGAAACTATTAAAATCTATGAGTCTACGGCACATAGCAACAATCTACAATGAAAAAAGCTAACACACTGCACCTCCAAAATCTCCTATACTTTCCAACATTAAAGGTTCTGAATTCATGATTAACAAGTCAATAAACAACGACTATTGAATTCTAAGACCATATATTCCCAAATCAGTCTTATACGTTCATGAGACAAACAAATTAAACAACCAATTCCATCAGACATAGCAGAACGAGCAACATAGATACAAAAATCAAAACTTTCAATACCAAACTCGTTATGTAACAGAGAAAGACAGAGAACAAACCACCTAAGGCAAAAGGGAACCAAAGTTCATACCTTTCTTCAAAGGCTTATTAGTGGCCTTAACCGCAGCTGGAGCTAGGTTTTCGAGAAAGAGTTGAGAAAGAGGCGAAAAACCCTAAACGGCGGAGGAGAGATGGAATCGAATCTAAACAGAAGAAATGGAGAAGTGAAATGGATCGAAGAGATGAAGCCGGAGGAGAAGCGGAGGAGAGAAAATCGGCGGAAGCGGAGGAGAAGCAAAGGAAGGATCGGGAAGCTAGAATCGGCGAAGGAGAGAAATTCGGTGGGTTTCTCTAGCGAGAGAAGAGAAGAGAGAACAAAATGATTTTTTTTTCCACTGCTGTCGGGAAAACGAAACCAATCAACAGCTGCCATGTCATCTGATATTGGGTATCAGAAGTTTCTCTGGGCTGATACGGATCATGCCCGTTTTAACTGTTTGATCCTTTAAATAATATTTTTTGGGCTTCTGATACTGTAAAAATATCACCCATAAACATGGTCTAAGAAAGAAAAAAAGGCTACGTCGGCGAAAGAAAACATAAAAATGGGTTTATGGTAAAAGGCCCATGAGTAAAAGAAATCGGCCCATATGTAAAAACTTTTTTATGATTTAAAAACTTAATAATAATGACACGCGCGTAATGAATCGCGTTAAGCGTGTGTAACCTAACCGGCGGTGATCCTTTGTTCCGATCGTCTCAGCTTCCAGTTCCTCTCTCTTTTTTGAAACAACCGACTCTGGGGAGATATCAAAGGTGGTTGATCCAAAGAAGGTGTTACACGTTCTCAAAATTGGAAATTTCGGAAAAAAGCTTCTGGAATCACTCGGAGGACTTGAAGGAACCAAAGCCCTAAGAAACTAGGGAAAGTAATTTATCTTCACCATAGTCGTTGTCTCGACGCTGAGGAACGGAGGACGAAACTGTGTTCGATTTCCGGATCGAAGATTCGGTTTTGTGTTGTGAATATCGAGGTTTTGAGCTGAAATCGTCCACTGAGTAATGGGGGTAAGTTCCGAGAAGTAATTCGATTTGCTGATTTTGCAAAGTTCGGATTTTTAGGTTGTTTTGCGCTTGAGGAACTTGATTATGTGTACAAGCAAATAATTGTATTGTTTCTGATATATATAGGTTGATCCATTCAAAACTACGGACACATTAGAAGCCGACAAGGAAACCAATGGTGGTATCCCTGTGAAGGATAAATTGACTTTTACAGCTCCTGAGAGAAAGTCCCGTTTAGGTATGAGTTGAGTTTTGTGAACTTTTGCAACCCAATTGTTGAATGCATTTTGATTCATTGTTTTGGAACCCATGGGATATACATTTGTAGGTTTGGATGTAAGAGCAATTGAGAAACGGGAGAATGCCAAGACCGAGGGCGAGTTTAAGGTCCCGAAGAAGTCAGCAATATCTGTTACATCATCTTTGGATGAAGAAGATAAATCTGATGTTTCAGGATTAGATTATCGAACAGAAAACACTCGACCTGACCATTCCAGCAGGCGATATAGAGACAAGTCTTCAAGTTCTGAGACTGCACAAGGTATTTTTTTTTCTCATGAATATGTAGCTTTCAGCTCTAGATTTTGATCCTTCTTTGTGAGCATAAGTACGATGTTGGAATACCACCTTCATTCGTTTTTCTGAACTCTTGTGCTTATGACTTATGACATTTATGATTTATTCAATTTTTTGTATTGCAGAAAGTATCGTGACTACAGAGAATGCTGGAACTTCAGATGTAAGTCAATTCCATCCTAATAATGAAACCATTATTTTGCCCCGGTTATCTATCTTTTCTACTTACTTAACTGATTTTTTAAAGTACCTGCAACTTGAGTTTTAGTCGTCTGACATATTTTTCACCTGTTGGAATGCAGATTTCCATGACTCCAAGGAGTTTATCTAGCACATCTAGATATGAAAGAGGTGATAGCAATAGGCATCGAGAAGAACATAGGCGTGACAGAAGTGAAACTCCGCGGTCAAGACAGAGAAACACTTATGGTGAGATGGATCACTACCGAGGGAGGGAGTCTTATCGCCAATCTAACCGAGACTATCATGGAGAAAAGCGTGGAAGATACGATAGTGATAGGAGGACTCCAGGTATGCAAAAGATTGTAGAAGCTCATAAAGCTATCAATTTATGAGCTTATTGACATAAATGTCACTACATTTTTCTCTATACAATTTTGTCTAGTTTCAAACACAACACTTATTGGGCCTTTTTAATGGAGTGTAGGTAGGTCAGACTGGGATGATGGAAAATGGGAATGGGAAGATAGTCCTCACGGAGATAGAGACTCTAGTTACAGCAAGCGACATCAGCCTTCTCCATCACCCATGTTAGCTGCAGCTTCACCTGATGCTCGTTTGGCCTCCCCGTGGCTGGATACACCACGTTCAACTAGTATGTTGTGTTTGAATTTTAATATTTGTAATTTGGTTCTATTAGCAACCACGGGCAAAGATTAACAACAAGATTTATTACCATGTCCTTCTTCACCTGCAGTGTCTTCTGCTTCTCCATGGGATATTGGTGCACCTTCTCCTGTTCCAATTCGGGCTTCTGGATCTTCTATCAGATCCTCAAGTTCTAGGTATGGTGGAAGATCCAATCAACTGGCATACTCTAGGGAAGGTGATCTGACAAATGAGGTATGCTTTTTTCTTACTTGGCATTGTCCACCCATGGCCATGGTCATTATTAGATAGAACTGAATTTCCTTTTGGTTTCCCATGTTTTTAAAATCCATGTCGGGCTTGCTTGAAGAATGTTGATGAGGATTATGGTTCTCTTGCATTAAGAATTTTTTTTGGTTTTAATAGTACTTGTGCCACATGTTGTTATGCCTTATATAGGGGCATTCAGATGAGGATAGATCGCAAGGAGCTGAAGAATTTAAACATGAGATCACAGAAGCAATGCGTTCGGAAATGGAATATCACGCAGATCTTGCATGGTAAGTTTTACTTTCCTTTAGAGGCAGGAAATTAAAGATTGGTGAATCAATAATGTTTTATGAACTGAGAGCATAGTCTCACTCTTCACGTTAATTGTCGAACCACTAGATTTTATAAAGCCTGTATAAACTTGTTGGTGATTGTCATTTCGCAGGTATGATACAGACGAAGGGAACTCACTGTTTGATGCGGACAGTGCATCCTTTTTTCTTGGAGATGATGCTTCTCTACAAAAGAAGGAAGCTGAGCTGGCAAAGAGACTGGTATTTGTCTATACCTATTACGCACTCTTTCTTTATAAGTTTTTATGTGACACTGCTTATGTCTGATCTCTTATCACTGACTAGGCTTTTCCTTGTCCTTTTTGTGTAAATGATCTAATTTAATTTCATTCTGACTGAACCATTAATCTCTTATCTCCTTTTACTACTCTTGACTAAGTATACTTATGCTAATTATAGGTTTGATGAATTGCAATATCGCATAATACTCCTTGTTTAATGCACCAATCCTTCTTTTTCCTGGCATTCTGACTTTCTGCTTAAAAATATAGTATACTTATTGACTGCTTTATAACATTTGTAATGCAGGTTAGAAGGGACGGTAGCAAAATGTCACTCGCTCAGAGTAAAAAATATTCTCAGCTTAATGCGGATAATGCTCAATGGGAAGACCGCCAGCTTCTCAGATCTGGAGCTGTTAGAGGCACAGAAGTGCAGACTGAGTTTGATAGCGAAGAAGAACGAAAAGCAATTCTTCTTGTACATGGTATATAGACTACTACAATTGCTCAAAGTTAACCATGATGAGTTTAATATTTGTAACATAGCAGGTAATATTCTATTTTTTTGGGAAATTGCAGATACGAAGCCTCCTTTCCTTGACGGAAGAGTCGTTTTCACAAAGCAAGCGGAGCCAGTAATGCCTGTAAAGGATCCCACATCAGATATGGCTATAATTTCACGAAAAGGATCAGGTCTTGTCAAAGAAATTCGGGAGAAACAAAGTGCGAATAAGTCACGACAGCGATTCTGGGAGCTTGCAGGTTCTAATCTTGGTAATATCCTTGGTGTTGAAAAATCAGCCGAGCAGGTAATGCCCTAATTGGTTGTTGGTTCTTTATTGATATTGTGGTTGTTGGACATATTGTGACTTTGTGATCATCTTTGCAGATTGATGCCGATACTGCTGTAGTTGGTGACGACGGTGAAGTAGATTTTAAAGGCGAGGCTAAATTTGCACAACATATGAAGAAGGGAGAAGCTGTGAGTGAATTTGCCATGTCAAAGACCATGGCAGAGCAACGGCAATATCTTCCCATATTTTCTGTTAGAGATGAACTATTGCAGGTTGGTGGCCTTTCCTTTTGATGGCCCTGATAGTTGGATTATAATATGCATTATTATTAGGAAAACCTCAGGGGGTTACGCTGTTTTTATTTTAATTTCATCCTTGCGTTAATCATCTGCTTTTAATGTATTCTCTAGGTAATAAGAGAAAACCAGGTGATAGTGGTGGTTGGCGAAACTGGTTCGGGAAAGACCACTCAACTTACACAGGTTGATCCCTGACTGTGGCTTTTCAGGGAATTCATGTACTAATAACGTAGTTCTGAAACAATTAAAACATTGAACTTATATTCTGTTTCTTTTTGTTAGTATCTTCATGAGGATGGGTACACTATAAATGGTATAGTCGGTTGCACCCAACCAAGGCGTGTAGCAGCCATGAGTGTTGCAAAGAGAGTTAGTGAAGAGATGGAAACAGAGTTGGGCGATAAAATTGGCTATGCAATTCGTTTTGAAGATGTAACTGGTCCAAACACTGTTATCAAGGTAATGTGTTCTCAAGTAATGAACTGATTTTTGCATATTTGTGATGTTTCTTGTTTAGTTGGCCTCATAAAGCTTGGCTTATCATGCTTATAGCATCTGCACTTCATTAAAACATAGATATTTCTTCTGAAACTTCATGTTCCCTTTGAAATTACAGTACATGACCGATGGAGTGCTACTGAGAGAGACCCTCAAAGATTCTGACCTGGATAAGTATCGGTATGTATGCTTTAACCTTACCTCTGATAGATCATGCTTTGAACTAGATAAATATCGTCACTAACTCCTTTTGTGGACTCTGTATAGTGTGGTGGTGATGGATGAAGCGCATGAAAGGTCACTCAACACAGACGTCCTTTTTGGAATACTGAAAAAAGTTGTGGCTCGGCGTCGTGATTTCAAGTTGATAGTCACGTCAGCAACCCTTAATGCTCAAAAGTTTTCCAATTTCTTTGGGAGGTAGGTTACCATCATCCTTCACATAGACCAATTTGGAATCTTAAGAAGGAATTGTTA